ACCGGCTGATATTCCTGGCTATAGAATCTCAACAGTAGACGGCTTGCTCGTTATTCAATCAAAATGTGGGAACGTTGTATGTGGTGTTGAAAGCTGAGCGTTATGTAGTGTGACATAATGTACACATTGACAGCGGGCTTGTGAGATGTCTAGGTTGGCTGCTCATTACATCGCACCGTTTAAACTGTCGAGTTTATTATATTATTTAACGTTGACTATAGATAGTAGTCATTATCATACAGTAGACGTTTGGTTTCCATGTTAAAGTGGTTTGTATCCACCATCTCGATGGTATCCACAGATAAGGGATGTCTCTAAGTTAGGGCGGGCATTAATTGCGCCAACTGACCTGAGTCAGGCAGTCGGGTTCGGGTATTCCTGAATTGCGCCAATTACTCCAAAGAACCACCCGATAAGTTCATTTAACAGGGTCGCAAGTGGTGGTCCTCTTTGACTGTTAGGTTAGGTTAGGTTAGGATGACTATCTCGAGCCGGCCTCATTTTCGGCCCTAGGTACGAAATATACTATTTCTCTAGATGTGTAAACCTTCAGCTTTATATTTTATCCGAACCACTGTACCACCGCATTATGTGAACGTGCGTAAGGTCTGTTCAGGACCATAATTGTGTGCAATTGGTTGTCGACCGGACTTGAACCCAGTACTCCTGTTCATAAGCCCTGTTAACCTCAATACTTGGGCACCACAATGTATGGTGTATAAACCACTTGTAATTGCAGTAGTAGTCCCGGACACCTCAGTTCAGTAGATAAATCTCTAATTAACTACTCGGGAAGGCAACGGCTGGCGCCGGTGTTCCATGTTTAATACGCATGCGCATGTAAATCAGAGCGAGAACTAAGTTATGTGGGCCACCATGCTTATGTGGTGTGACCATCGATATATAACTACTACAGTAGTACTACAGTAGTAGTTATATATCGATGGGTGTGACTGGTGTGTGTTGCGTTGACCAACTATGAATGGGCTACCTGTTTATTGACTTGCTATATGGCTGGCCTACAGTAGTGTGATTCTAGTGTTTTGTAATTTAAATTAGCAACTAGACTGTCTACTGTTCTACGATAAGTGAAATCATTGACTATATATGTATAGTGTATATAGAAATGACGAAATGCACGTTTTGCGGGCGTTTTTTCTTACATATGAGGTGAAAAGAAACCAAGGAACCTGAAACATAAGTTTGGAACATAACTCGTTTCTAACTTTCGGGATACAAATCGTTTATGGAAAATGTTCCCAAATTATCCTTTACCTTACAATTTTTAACAATATAATTTCAACGAAGAATAGTTCTAGCAGATTTTCTGCAGACATTTTATGTGTATAGTCATGGGATCACCGATGACGCGACTCGAACAGAACAGTCACAGATGAAGTAAGTGTTTGTTTAATCAATGGTCTATTCCGGACGTAGGACACAAAAGATATTAGGGAAGAGCATCGATTTTAAAATATCGATGTTTTTCTATCGATATTCAATGTTTTTTACATCTTGGCTAGGTTACCGATCTTATTGTGACATATATGTTTTCGTCTAACATAAAAATGTGTTTGGCCATCTATCGAGATATCGATGATTTTCCCGTAACTGAACTGGAAATTTAAATGTTGGCCTTATGAAGAAATTTAATTTTTGTAATTACTGAATCCATTAAAAAGATTTATATCGAACTCGAAACCATCATGAACTGGTCTATTCAAAACTAGAGTGAGAGAGATAACTTACATTGTTGAGGCGCTCGTGCTAAATAATGCTGCAAAAACCTATTAATTTGTAATTAATTTCAGTAGCATCACTCCTGATCCATAATCAATCAAGATATTTCGTTATGCAAATGTGAAAGAGAAACTTCCAATCTAGAACGTCTGGTTAATTATCCGAGGCGGAAAGCAGACACAAAATGAAAACATTGATGCTTTCGTGACGATTTTATCGGTTCATCGATTTCACAATCGATGATCCTGTCGGTGCTCATCCCTAAAGATATAAACAAAATATCAATCTATCTGTAGACAGCAGACGCACGTCCGTGGTGGTACTGTATGATGCGTAGCCGTGGGGTGGGGGGTGGGGGCAGCGTGGCATTGTCCTTGATTGCATATCGACCAGCTGATTCCTTTATCACCCCTCTCCCCCCACTCCCTCCAACTACTTACTCTACTACTGATTAAAACCCCCGTTTTAACTTTATGACAAGGCATTCTTCTTGCCTTTGTGTACTGTGTGTTTGTAGCATATTTTATAGCATCGTATCGCTATATTGTTTTTATGTTCAAATTAAGTACTGTAGTTACTTAAATCAAGTTTTTTAGCAATGCTAAAGACAAGTTGAACCCAATTTACAAATGAGAATTAATCTAACAAAACACACAACAATTTGAGATGAATAGTACCTAAAATATAATCAGCATCTATCTGAAGAAATGTAATTTAATATTTAAACTCTCAACCATACAAGAACAAAATAATATGTAATTACAGTAGTACAGTCAATCGTTTTAAGATTTAAACACTAACAATGATTTTATTATATTTTGTAACAACAAAATTGGAATTAATATGCTAAAAGATAACAACAAAGTCTGAACAAAGCAATGTACTATTTATTATTTAGAAAATTATTGACAGTTATGTAAGACTAGAGTTTTATCAGAGGTGGGGAGATCTCTGGATGATAAATTCATTATTCAAAATTGAATTTAGTTAATTCAACCTGCTTTTGCTGTACTTTACTAATAATTACAATTCAATTACGGTACAGGAATAAGCTGTCAATTCAACATTTGTTGACGTTGACATTTAATTTAAATAAATATTTTTTTCAATAGATTTTCTCCACAAGAATACAATTGTCTGTTTTGTATGTGTTGGAAAGGAAAGAGGAAAATATTAACCTCAAAATAAAATCCATATTTCAAAAATAGCAACAAGTTTGAACTAATTGCAGTACTTTGATTACCTCATTTTCGCAATCCTGTTTGCTATTCGCACATTGGGTATGACAGGTTGGCAAATCAATTTTCAGCCCAATCAGTGCCAAATTGGTTTACCAAGTTTGGTCAGTGGTCTGTTAACCTGGTTTTGGCCTGTCCAGATGGTTTGTCAAACTATTACTCATACTTTAATAACCTGGACACAGTAATTAAAGAACCAAACAGCTACAAGTAATAAAATGTCAGATATGGGTTGCATATGGTCAAGTCTACCTCAGTCATACTTTAATTACCGGGACAGAATGGTTAAACATTCTGTGGTTACAGGTGCAGTTAATAAATTTTCAAATATATGGCTAGAATAGAGATTGCGGTTTCAATATGAATTATTGTTTGGTGTCGAGAGTTGAGTATTTAAATACCGGTAGCTGAAAGTCTCAATCATTTTTAGCTAAAATTAGAGATTATTATAAAAGCGAATGGTACCCAACCCAAATAGCACATTTTATTTCTGTTCAATACTGGTTTTGCGGGCAGAACTTATAATGCAATACCCATTTTATGAGGTTTTATTCTAAGACAGTCGTTGTGTGAATAAAACAAAAAAATAGTTATTGTTTACTTATCTGATTACTTTATTGATTTTAGATCTACACCATAAAGAGTAATTTACCTACATCAGGTTATAATAAATTATCAAAAAGTACCCTGTTTAAAATCTATTTTCATAAACTGTTTTGTCTCTTGAGGACACTTTTATGCACTGCTGCTGGGTTTTTATTGCGCCACAAAAAACATGAGGCTGCGAAATTCGCATGTACTTGCGGTGCCGCAGGTTTTATATAACTAGCACTGACAGCTGTTGCAACCCGGACTGCAGTGCATAAAAGCATTTGAACAACCCATTTGAGTCAATGTACTTATAGAATCGCAGCGGCTGCCGACTCTAGGTGCATAAAAGGGGCCTTACATTCAACTGAACGATCAGCTGTTAAATTACAATTCACATTTAAACCTTTACAAAAGAAAGTTGATCAGCATAACCTTTGAAAGTGGACTTGGAAATAAATCAAATGCAAGAGGGGTGAATCCCTAAAGGAAATAATGTTTTTAGTTAAGGCTGTGATGTAACAGAGAAAACCATCATTGTATTTAGTATATAGAATTGAACCACTGTTAAACTAATATACCATCCCATTACAAAGCTACCTGCTACAACTACAAATTATCTGAAAATACATAAGTAGATCTAAATAAATTTGACAATTTCCTAAAAAAAAAATATATACATAGTTTATATTTCACAATGTATAAGTTTTATTTTATGAAATAAATGTTTTTAAATATTCCATAACCAAAAGTTACTTGTGTTTGATATATACTTTTGCAAGTAGGCCTATTATATTTTCCCCTTAATTTCTTAAAATAATGTTACATTATGATGTTATAAAAGGTTTTCTTAAATATTTTACTTATATTTGTGACAGATTAGTAAAAAAATGATGTTTATTAAATAAATACACCAAAACAAAATCAAGTACTTTTACATCATATGTGATATTGCTTGTGTAGAAACTTTTGAATTTGACCCAGTTTTTGCAAGTGGCATCACAACTGTTTACCATATTTGCAGCATAAAACTACTGTATATTTCAGTTTCAGAATGTTTTAGCATAAATTTAAAAAGATTACTTTGAGCAACTCATATTTCATATTTATTTGAATTTTGTAATCAGCATGGATAAGAATAATCTAACAGATGTGAATAACTGTAAGCAGATTTTCCACTGATGAAATTTTGTCAATTTTCTCAAAACTCAATTCTGATTGATTGATTGATTTCTACTTTGATTATTGATTAGACAATTAATTGTCAGCATCCTAAAGTCAATGCTTCTTTCTATGTTTTTTCCCTATTATATAATTTATTTTTGAAGATTTAAGTCTTATGTTAGCTTCTTAAACCAAGAAATATTGATCATTAAAGCCATAATTTGTGTATGTTTAGTTAAAATTTAAATCTATATTGTTTTTTTGTTACAGTGCAATAATGGACTGTCTGGTAGTTCCCCTACAAGAGAAAATAGAAGACTGGAAGAAAGCTGTGATTAACCTAGACAAGGAGCATGCCAAAGGTAAGGGTTTTGGTTTTTGGATCTTGTACACAAGGCAGGAAGTAAAACAGCTGATTCATACAAAGCACATTCCACTTACCATGATTAATGTCAATCAACCCCAATCTCAAGTGTAATTCCATAGAATAGAGCATTCAAACCCCTTGCTTAAACTCATTTGATACTTTTAATCAAAGTCCAAGATCCAACGCTTAGCTCTCAAAGCCTGTCATAAAAATGTGGACCAGTTGGAGAATATTAAGCGACAAGGGTGATGTCACTTGATTAAAATTCCTTGGTAAAGCTGTAAGATCCCTTAGGGGTGGTTATGTCTGTGTGGGGTGGGAGGACTTATCTGGTCTCTAGAGTCTTGTTGGAGGCTGGATTGGAGTTTTACGCTCAGTGGTTATTCTCTAAACAGGCCAATACACTGACCAAACCGGACTCAGATTCACTGGACAAGTTTCTATTGTGGGATGTTGGAATGATATTTTTTTATTTTGAAAAATATTACTGCTTGTATTGTGGTTTTCGATGACATTGGTCATGTAGCTATCGTGTAATGTTAATGATTTAATATTTTTTTACTGTTCCATTAGGAAATATATAAAAAATGACGATGCCGAAGAAACACAAACAATTTTACTTCTTACCTAGTTTAATAACATAGGTATTTAATTTGTTATGATAACTGCTGAATAAATTAGACAACTTACAATTTTATTGAACTTTACTTTGGGGGTACACAGTTCTGTACTATGATTTGAATTTTTTTATTGTTTTAAATATACTGGAAAATAATTACAAATCTACACTCACAAAATTATATCAGTCTGCTATTTTATGCTGTATCGAGACATTTCTGCCATTTTAATCATCCATATAGCAATTTATACTTATGATGCCAAATCGAATATAAGTATCGAGCAGTAAACTGGATTAGGCTTCCAAGGATTCCGCACGGATGGAAATGTATCAAAGACAGAAGGCGAGTCGTAGACAACAAGCCTTGTATATTGATTCTGTCTGATCAACCATGCACAATATCCCATTGTTTGCCAAATTGTGATGTTTCCGTTTTACTGGAATACATCTTGAGACAGGGCATATTGTTGTATGACAGTCATACTCTGATTCAGTTAAGGTTTGATTTGAAAAAAATTTAAATGTTAGGTAAATTTTGAAATAAAAAGGGATATTTTGTATTATTTTGATTTTAGTTTTGTTTGTGTTGAAAATCACCTGTTGGTGATTATTACCTCCCTTTATATGCTAGGACACAATGGTGAAGGATAGGTGTGATATTTCCATCATATGCTTACGTCACACACATTGCAAAAGCAAAATTTAATCAAATCAAAACAAATGTATATATGACAGTTACAAACAGGTGATTTTCTGTTTGCAATATGGGTGGCTTCAGTCTATGAGGGGAGTTTCACACCTATGTTTTATCCTCCACCATGCTAAGATGCTAGGACCAGAACTGTTTTACTCATTACTTCAGGCTAGTCCTAAATTGAGCATTATCACAAAGATAAAAAGTATAAAACCATGACTGGGTCAGATTTGGACTTGAGAACTCGGGAACCAAAGCCCCACACTCTATCACTAGACCAGCTCTCGTCCCAAATTTAAGATAATAGGCCTGCAGTATTATAGTTTTGAAAGTTAAAAAAATCTGAGACCAATTTAGTATTTATTTAAATCACTGAAAAAAAAACCAATTAGGACTGCTGAAAGTGTTAATAGCAATAATAGTGCACTTAAAACATTATATAATTTGTTATAATTAATTTTGGACGTCATTAAAGCTACAATAGTCGATGCTAATTGTTTATATTTGTCACACTTAAAAAAAAATATGATTCATAAAACTGAGATGAGAATTATTTTTTATTGAGATAAATCCTTGATAGGATTCGGGCCAGTTACGATATTTGTTTATGTTTATCATCCATACCGGTTTTGTTCTAATATGATAGAAACATATTTTTGGAACTTTCAGTCAACCTCCTATTTGGTTTTAAAGCTGTACTTTCCATATAGTAATATAATATAATATTGAGCAACATATTAAAAAAAATATTTGATTTACAAGTCGAGAGATTATTGTTCAAAATCCCCTTTGGTTATTTTGTTGAGTTTTACTACAGTTAAGAATACAAATTGCCTCTGGTCTTTTACCCCTTCATGGGTGGGTACTCAATCTTTCATTGGATTGTCAATGCTCTAAGCCAATTGTATTTGCATTTTAATTGAATGAATGTTCTTTTTACCTATTCTGTTCATGAGTCACAAATTTGTAAAATATTAACAATTTTGTAAATTTATCGCATAATTCATTTTGTTCCCAATAATAGTGTTGAGGCTATTTTGTGGTGTGCTTAAAAATTCACATTTAATATTGTTTTTACCCACAGTATTATGTTGAAATACAATCTTTGTGTAGGTACTGATTATTTATTTTTGCAAGAAAACATTTATAAATATATGTAAAAGCTAAATTACTAATAAAATAAGAATCAGTAGGTGACAGTTTTTATCTGTATATTTAGTAGATTTATTGTATGGATTATTGGGCAATGTTGACGATTCCTTTAAAATTCCAAATAACAAAATGTTTGTGACTAAGATTTTGATTGTTTTTTTAAAGTGAAGCAAGTATTTTTGTTCAAAATTCATTTTAAAATGTTTTTACAGTTATGAAATACAACCGTACATTTTATCATATTTTTTTCTTACAAGCACAAAGAATGAAACTGTTAATATTTGTGTATCTTATGTTTGTTTGAATGTGTCTGGTGAATTAAACGAAATAATCTTGGATGTTTATAATGACGTCATTCTAAAGTTGTCTCTTAATTTTATTGTAAATACTACTCCCTGTTTGGATACATAAGTTGAAATATTGTCCAGTTCCGCCTCCGATTAGAATGTTTGAATAAGAGTTCTGATGTCACTACGCAGGTGTTCCCACAAGCTGTTTAACAACAGCTGATCAAATTTGAACATCTGTTCTCACACTCGTGTCAAGCTGCCAATCAGTGATCAGAACAGTTTTAACTCCAGTTACAAAATGTTCTAATCCAAAATACAAACTATTAAGGGTTTGTAGCGAAATTAGTGAAAATGCTGTCAAAATTTTCACAGTCCTGTCTGATGATGTTGAAAGATACATGCATGTTTTTTGTTTGTTCAAGTTACTATAGTAAATTGAATAAGAAAAAGAACAACAATCCAACTAATGTTCTCACATGTTTTTAAGAATGAAACGTAACACTATGGTCGATAAACAACTCAAATGTGCTTTGATGTTGGCTGAACAAACTTTTTGCTTGAGAGATTAGTGCTAGTACACATGTGCCAGGGTATGTTGTACTGTATGTCTTGCCAAACATCTACCAACATACAAGATAATATTAACATTAAATAATCTAAGATCAAATCAAATCAAATCAAATCAAAATATACTTTATTTCCAAAAATATTCAACAGAATAAAATATAAACATAAACTTCCAAATACAACAACTGAACCGCTCGGCTGAACAACTGAACTGTAGATGAACAACTGTTGATATTTTTTTGCCAAGTTAACCTTTAAACTAAATCCTTAACACTATAAAGCATTGTAAGTACACATTGCCAGTTTTCCTGTTGGTTCTTGAGTGTTTCTAAAAGGTTGTCAGCTGTAAGGCGTAGATGGAAGCTAGATCCTTTAAGCCCTCAGTTCCCCTGGGACAGGAGAGTGGGTCAAACTAAAATGAGAGCGGCAAATCTCTGTCAGTTTCTGTAGATTCTCATATGAGATTGTTTGCTTTATATCTTTTTCTGCTTTTGCTTATGACATTTGAAGATGAATAAAAATGATGCTATGTTTGTGTATTTTGAAGATTATTGTACTTATTAATACGCTAGGCATTGTACTTATTTCCTTGGAGTAAACCATACCTCAAATGTTCTGATGAGCTGCAATTTTACATTTTTCTTTATATTTAGCAAGAAGCTCTATGTTTCAATTGGGGATTTTAAATGTACGATTTTTTAAATATTATATATTCACTTCTCTTAGAATGATCAAACTATGGGAGCTGGGTTTTATGTGGTAAAAGTGTATTTTCCTATAAAACTGTAAATTGAAAATACCCATTCTTATAGATCTTTGTTATATTATTATATCTTTATTATATTGTGTCGACACTCCATTCTTTGTACTTTGTGCATTGTAACATGCTGAGGCGCTCTCCAAGTAATTCGAGCGAGAGCTCGGCATAGATCACATGCGAAGAAACCATGTACACTCTCACTTTGTCTCACAGTCAAAAGGGCACCTGGCACTAGTGCAGTCTTGGGTCCTTTGACTCGTGTAAAAAAACCGACTCTAGACAGAGCGCAGGCGAGTAAGAGACTGGGCGAGGCAAGGCCCCCTGAGTCAGTACGAGAGAAGCCGAGCGTACCGAGTACACACTCGCACCCACGCGCCTTGTCTCGGCGAGAGTGTACTGGGGCCATCATGTACGGCACATGTAAATGGTCTTTCCTTTTACTTACGCGCATTTCTTTGTTGCAGACTTCAAGAGAGCGAGAGCCGAGTTGAAGAAGAGATCCACAGACACACTGAGGTTGCAGAAGAAGGTGAGGAAAGGTTGTAAGACTGGCGAGCTGCAGCGGAAGGTGGAGAGTTGCATGCAGGATGTCAACGAGCGACGGTTGGTACACTTGTATACTTGTAGAACTAGGTATTACTTTATTAACGTTGTAGCTAGATTTAAAATAAAAGTGACCGTGGTTCAATTGAAGCCAATAACAGAGTGGGTTGATGCACAGAGAAGTAAGGTACTTACAGTAAAACCTCAATAACTTAACACTCCGTAACAGGCAAAAAAGTGATTTTTCTGAACATTTAGTTTTAATTGTTGAATATCTGACATTACTTTGAAGATTTGCTCAATTAAACACTCATGTAAGTAATAAATGCATATGAAAAAGTGTTCCTGTGATATATTCATTTATTAAACCAATTAAAATGTTCAATTTCCTAGATAACTCGTCAACCTCTGGGTCCACAAATTGTAGAGTTTTTACTGTACATAGGAAACTTGCTCATGGGACAACAGTGCGCTTTCAGCTCTAGTATGTTATGCAGAAATATATTTGTGACGAACAAGGGAGTATTCTATGGGAGAGCACTGTGTGTCCTATCGCACAGGGTCTTCCTCCATCGTGAGCGTTGTAGTACATAAGGGCGGTGTTGAACTTTGCCCTAGACACCTCACTAGTGCTAGACTAGTAGTAGACTAGTGCTAGACACCACTTAAGTGCACCATTGAATGTTTTGTACCTTAATTTATAATTATTTGTGGCTTGCGTAAATATCTGTTGATTATGCCAACTTTTAAACTAAGTAAGTGAGAATGACAGTAGGCCCTTCATTTATTGCAATTTTTTTTAACTATAGCAAGCTTTATGCCGCATCAATCATCAAAGTTTTGGGAAAAATAAATTTCTAAATGAGTATGTTAAGATTATATCAAGCTTTGAAAAGCATCAACTAATTTAATTTAATATTATAGGTTGTTGTATTAATAGTCAAAGATTATAGTTTCGATTTAGCAATATTCAATAGAAATTGTTACATAATATACTTTTCAGGTACATTCTTGAAGAGACGGAGAAGAAGGCTGTAAGAGCCGCACTTATAGAAGAGAGAAGTCGGTTTTGTGTGTTTGTCGCCTTTCTCAAACCTGTAGTGGTAAGTAAATTGTCAACATTGGTTTTAGATCAGTGCATAAAATAAAATATCCCATTATTGTTTTCAAAGAAAACATAGAATGACTGGGGGTAATTAACTCATTCCATGTTCAAATTTGTTCACCTATCAATATTTCTGTTTAGTTATTTTATATTTGTTACTTTAAACTATTATTTTCTGAACTATTAATTTTATTTTTTGGAAACACCTTATGGCTAATTGGAGTCTTTATTTTTACAGGAATAGATTTAAGCTAGCGTACCTTATAAAAATAAAGTCCATAAATGCACAAAAAGGACAACACAACTAATATTTCTTCTTAGTATAGGTTGTTACTTTTGACAGTAGGAACTTTAACCCTCAGTTTTAAATGTTAACTGACATTTCTCATCAATCTATTCTCTGAAAAGTCCAATGATGAGACAAAACATCAGTTTCATGTCATGTATTTGTCTGAGTATCTATGAGCTCCTGATTTTTTCCCCGCTAAGCCAGCTTACTTTTATTCTATCTCTTTCCCCTTGACTTCTTTAACTTTGAGAGACTCTCACTTAATTCTCTGATACCAGTTGAAGTTTTATGTTGGATGTTGATAAGTCTTAAACTCAACTTGTTAAGGTCCTAACAGTAAAAAGGAGACCTGAAGACTAGCAGTATAGCTCTAATCAGTGTTTAGCATAGCTAAAAGCCATTAGTCACAGGCTAGATTCGTACCCAGGACCCCAGGACAGAAGTCATGCACTTTAGCTACTCTAGCCTAGAAACCATGTTTAATACTTTTAGTAATGTCGGTGTGCGTGTTGTAGGACGAGGAGGTAGCCATGTTGTCGGAACTGTCTCATCTGCAGGAGGTGGTGGTACAACTGGAGAAACATACAGCGGACCCGTACACCCTTCCGCCAGCTAGCGAGCAGGTAAACATTCTACACTACGGTACTTTGTCACAATTTGTGAAAACGTTGCTTGTGAAAGTAAACGTTATGGGATTGTAGCGTTACCTGTCAATAGCTCAAACACATTGTGCAATTCTGCAATTCCTGACTAAACTCCTGCTCTTCCTGACTTGTTTTGAGATTCGAACAAAGAAAATGTATCCTCTTTATTCTGACTCAGAGTCAAACCGAGAAAGAAGAGATGTCATTGGACAAAAAATTTATATTTCAGACCGGACTTGTTTGTTCAACCCACACTGTCAATTTTATGTGTATTTCATAACCTTAGTATTTCAGTAGAACATGCGTTGTTACATTTAAAATTTAAATAATGTATTGTGCAAAAAAGATTTTTTTGTTGTAGCAAATTTCCCATATAGGGGATAAGCTATTACCGTATTTCTCATGGTAAGGCCTAGTCCGTTAGCACGATAACTTAAGCAAAATTTTTTTACTTAACTTGATACAAATTGTGTAAACCTACAATTATTAGAACGTACAATAAAAGGTTAAATTACCTGTGTCCGCCAGTCGATCCTTGTGCTGTGTCCTATTACAGGATATGCATTTCGGCAGAATAAACTGCCATCATCAGTCCTAATATAAGTCCTTGTTCTTCCCCATTGGGTGCGTCTTGAAGTTTTGAAACACGTACACGAACGATATTACACTTAGATACATTACGAACAAAACATAAAACACGGTAGGCCTACTTTTATTAAGCTATTACGGACATGTAGACGCGCGTCAGTCGTGTGTCGAGTCTCGACTGGGGTCAGACGTTACTTGCAGAGTTGACCTTTGTCCTGTCTCTGTCCTTTGTAGCTACAGGTGGCGTTTCATTCAACTTTAACAATGCTTCAAATAATATGTTGGATTGTAGTGTACTTTTATCATTCAGGAGGTTGTGGGGGGTTGTTTTAGATGCTCTATAAATTTCATATTGCTCTAGTGATGTCATTACTCGACTTTTTCTACAAATGTGTAAAGGTTTTAAATTTTCATTCAGGCTGGAATAACTGTGATTGCTGTCAATTAGGTGTTCGGCAAAATTGGATTGTTGTGTTAAACTATTTTTGGGAAGGTGTTCTTTAAACCTCTTAATAAATGGTCTGCCAGTCTGTCCAATATAGAATTTATTACAGTCACTGCATGTTATTTTGTATACTCCGGATTTATCACTCAGGTTTTTAACATTTTGTTGGGCTCTAGGTTTGAGGAGATTTTGGACTTTATTAGATGTTCTAAACGCTACAGTTTTTCCGTGTTTTTTTAATTCATTTTTCAAAGTTTGGGTGATTTTTTCTCCGTATTCAACTGAGACAAATTCTGTTTTTAATTGAGGCCTTGGATCTGTAGTCTCTTTACTAATTTTCTTTCTATGTCTGCTGATTAATGTGTCGATGATGTTAGGATTAAATCCATTATTGACAGCTATATATTTGATGACATTTCTCTCATTCTCGAAGTTTGCGGTACTAAGTGGTACTGATAGTAATCTATGTAATGGGGAAGAACAAGGACTTATATTAGGACTGATGATGGCAGTTTATTCTGCCGAAATGCATATCCTGTAATAGGACACAGCACAAGGATCGACTGGCGGACACAGGTAATTTAACCTTTTATTGTATGTCTTACCGATCTGGAACAACAACAACATAAAATGAAGTTATTAGAACGTGTTCGTGAACCAGCATGATCAGACTATGTGAACAGGGTTGTATGGGGGTTCTACGGTGTGAAATTTGGTTTTTCTCATTTTTAACCCCAAAACATACAATTTTCAATTTTTTCCAAACCTTACAGAGCTTAATAAACAAATCATTTAGTATATTAAAGAGTTGTTGTATTATACCTAATGGTTAAGGAGAAAATTCCAATAAACTGTAAATAACATATTCCCTATCTATTCTAGTTTGCTTGTTCATAGATATTTTATCAAATTTGACAAAGTTTGTTTATTTCATACTAAGCTATCTACATTTTAATAAAAACACTCCTTATTACCTTCCCTGTAGCAGCAAACCTTAGTACTAATTAAGATTATTGCTATTTAAATAGGAAATAAATCTGACAAATATTTTGGTGGCACTCTAGCCACTTGGAAATTCGCTTAGTCTGCACTGCAGGTTTGCTGCGATGGGCGTACTATGTCTACGGCTGGTGGCATCGTTCAGGAGAGATGAGAGGGAATTACATTGCGGCCAACTGTTCTTGAGCGTCAATGGCTTACTTTGCGCTCTTAGTACACAAATAGCTTTTACCACACTGAGACTCTAATCTTTTACCCTTTACCAGGTGATAGCCGATCTAAAGAGCACAGATAACAATTGGACGTTCACCACGCCACCTAGCAGTCCTAGCTCTCTGGGATCACGGAAGTCCTCGATGTGTAGCATCAGTTCTCTCAACAGCTCGTCCAGTGGCAGCACCAAGAGTCACCATTCCCCTAGTCACCACTATTGGCATCGGTCACTGTCACAGGTCAGTAGTCCGAGGCCAAAAAATTGAGTAAACCATTTGGATTCAATGATTTTTATTTGTGTCCGACATTCTCCAGGATTACGTTGAGTCACAGAAAAGTAAGGTACAGAGGAAACATTCAATGGTACACTTAAGTGGTGTCTAGAGCAAAGTCCCCCCTTGGCCCCCCTCACCCTCATGTACTACAACCCTCACGGTGGAGGAAGACCTTGTGCTCTGTGCGATAGGAATTATACACATTGCTCACCGTTCAGGCTTTTATTTGCTCGTCAAAGTATATTTCCGGTACAACATACCAGAGCTGAAAGCACATGGTCTTCCCACAAGCGTGTTTCCTTTGTAGCTTACTTCTCTGTAACATAGTCAAATTTATTTATTTTGTCCATTGGTAAAATCATGCAAGCTAAATTTAGCTGTAGATATTGCTTTGAATGAAATTATGTAGTGCTTATGTTTTAAGATATTTTTGCACATTTTTAAGTTACTCTCTTTTTTTTCTATTACATTATTTTGATTCTATCAGGAGTGTGTATGTGTTAGTTTAGCTGAGGAAATGCAAATTGTTTCAACAGTTATTTCCTTTCATGTAGAAACCTTACACGGATACATACTCTTTACCCTGCATGTTAGTATTCAGTGTTGTTCGTGTAAAAAATAGTGTTCACGTCAACTACAGTAGATATTTTTGTTAATCCAGTATTATTTTTGGGACTTAGGTAGAGACAGATTAGCAAGTCACGTTTAAAAATAAAAACTAACACGTTTGTAAAGAAAGCGGCAATACAGGTGAACTAGATTAATGGGCTGTGTAATAAGTTATTTTTAATATTCAGGATTTTTTTTCTGAAAACCGTAATTGCCAGCAAATTCTAGCAAACATACTTGAAGTTTTTAGAACAAGTTCGGAATTCTTATTCAGTGTATTATAAAACCCCAGCAAATCCTTATAGGATTACCGATTGCATTGGATTAATTGGGTCCTATTTCATATTATAATCTATATTCAGAACTCAAATTCACTCGATTAAGAACCTTTGAACTCTGACACTGGGGACATAACTGTTGATTCTGCATTATTATTTTCAAGATAGTAGCTACTTAGGAAATTTATTTTATCAACTTCTTTACTATTTTATTTCCAAATATCTTTTGCAATTATTTTGTTTATGTTCAAGTTGTGGTTGCACAAGCAGCGATTTATAAATTTATCTAACCTTTTTTAATCTTATGTAAATTTTTTCAAAATTTGTTTCAGTAAATCGACCAAGCAAAAAAAAATATTTACACAAAAAATATTTTTTGTTTTCTAACTTAGTTAATGCAATATGACGACAAATATAGTTCATCACACGGGCTAAAAGTGTGTTTTCAACCCTTGATTATTTTCTGACCTCAGCTTTGCCTCAAGTAAAACATAGGTAAAAAAAGAGTCACTTTACGCTCCAGTGATGAAATTTACTATTCATATTTACCTGCTGTGCAATCAGAACCACAACTGTTATCTATTTATTTTATTTATCTTCTGTTTATTTGTACCCGCACTATCAATGTTGTTGCATGTATGTGTTTTGTATGTAGCGTCCCACTCCACCTGGCACACTGAGACTCAGCTCCGTTAGTTCACAAGATTCAGGATTCACCTCTCAAGACATGCTGTTTCCACGGCCACCGGTGAGTAGCTGGTAGAGGTACAGTAGAACCCCGCTAATATGACCTTGGTTAGTCCGACTCCATGCTTAATCCGACCGTGCCATCGCCCATCGGTTACAATGTTATCGCGGTAATATTCTGATTGTTTTTCATGGCCGTGTGGAGATCCTTACCATCTCCCAACTGCGGCAAAAATCTTCTTACTTTCCCGCGATCACAGAAACATCATCATCATCGTTTTCTGCGATCTAGGGAAAATTTTTCCTCATCCTCCACAATTATGGCAAATCATTGAATGTCTCTGATGGTCATAGGAACGTTATCACCAATCACCATCTTCCGTGTGGATATTATATGCGTCTTCGGCGATCACGGCAAAATCCAGAACATCCCTGCAGTTGTGTAGACATCATCATCGTCCTTTGCAATAGCTACAAAATATTAAATAATCCTGAATTTGCAGAGACATCACCATTGTCTCCAGCAATCACATAAACTTTAACGTTTTAGGGGTCCATCTGCAATTGTGGCAAACTCCTGAATATTTCCCACGGTAATGGAAACATCATCGTTGTCGCCTGTGATCGTGGCAAAATATTGAATGTCAATCAATAAATGTCATTTGAGCAGTTGGTTTGGCCGTTTGTATGCTCAGTGGATAATCCGACCTTTTCACCGTGCGGAACATGGTCCTGGATCCGTACGTGATGCATTAGCAGGGTTGCACTGTATAGTGTGGTAAAAGATTTGTATTTTGCGGTAGAAATGCTAATTTGAAATTGCGTAGGTTTGTTTGGATTTTATTTGTCCCTCATAGGAACCAGGTTGTAGCTGTGTTTACAGCTTAGGGGTATTCACAGAAGAAGCACTATGGACGCTTTTATATATACATACCCCATGGACAATGTTTTGTGCATCCAGTAGTTTTTTTGTAGTGCAGAACTATGACCATTGACCAGTTTTGGGGACGAGATGGTGGAAGGGTCACCATAACACACAATAACGTGAAAAACAGTGGCACCATGGAAAGGTCCTCGGATTCTACATTTTCTGTGGCTTAGTACTGTCTTGGTTAATCACTATTGAATACCTTGTGGTTTTTTTAACCCAAAGGGGTAGCAGTTAGCAAGCCAATATTAGAAGTTGACAAACTGTTTGATATTCTGGGCTCTAAAACAAACAGAAAGTATAATCAAGTACCTAAACCATGTTGTATAGATTCCAAGTACAGTCTGGGGCGTCAATAGGAGTTTTCTCCACAAATTTGCTTGTACAGTCATACCAAATGAAAATAAAGTAATTTGATGGTACTCAATCGTCCCCTGGGAGGGTTGCATAAGTAAAGGTTGAATAAACCAGACTCTACTGCAACACCTGACTTAGGTTGGTAATAACACTATTTTCCAGAATCTGTGGGGGTTACAATTCAAGCATACGTTGAAGGCAATGCAACCATGGTTTATACTGATGGTTTATTTATTTGGCCAGTTTGTGTGATATATTGTATGATATAACATGTAACGTTACACAGGTGTCCAACATGGCAGAGCACAGTGAGGGCAGCAACGCCAGCACTCCGGCAGGCAACACCAATGGTGCTCTGCCCAACCCTACGGCTACGTGGCCTAACCTACAGGAGACTCTGCAGTTTGAGAGGGCAGCTACGGCCATCATGAATGATCGACCACATACCATCTCCTCAGGTTGGTCTACAACAACTGTTAATACTAGGGCGATAGGCTCAATCGGTTTTACCCTTTGTGGTTATTTTTTTTATTTATTTTTTTTTTAGTATTGTAGTAGCCTGGAACCGTTTCAAATCACTTCAGCCTAGCCTAGACGGTCATTATAACATGGACAAAATCCAACAGTGATCTGAAGGATTTGATCCTGGTATCTCGAGAACCGATGCCCCTCGCTTTACCAATAGACCAGTTTGCTATCCTCATCCTGTCAATACTAGTGATGTGTTAGTAGCTTAAGACGATTATGGTACCACTGGTTCTTGGAAAAAGTATTTCTACTTAAAACTGCTGAATAAAATACACGAGAAGTAAATGACAAGTTACAACCCTTTTCACCGTTCAAAACAGTTAAGCAAAAAATCCTCCTAAAAAACTTGAAAAATAACTGAATTTATAAATATTTCCAAATCAAGAGAAAGCATTATAGCAGAAGAGTTGATGAAAGCTAAATGAAATGTTAAGTGTGACAATTGTTGGCTTTTAGCCCTACTCTTTTGGAGAGCATTCAAATTGTTTGCAAGTCAGATTTAGTCTTTGATCTTGATTGGTTTAGTTGACAGTTATTGACTGGTTTGTGATCTTTAAAGTGTTAGTTTACAACATTTCTTCTAGTTTAATCGAACAATCAGGTTTTACTATCTACTAAATTTAGCCAAGAATTTGCTTGACAAGGTTAATTCAAATCGAAATTTAAAAAATCAAAATTTCTTTTATTTCATATAAAATAATCATTTTTTACAGTTTTTACAAAATATAATATTACAATAGAAGTTTATAACTGATAAGATTGTGTTCATCAGTATTAAAAATAGATTTTCCACAAAGTATGCCTGAAATGATCAACTTAATGTACATCATAAGGTATGATTTGATTTTTTCTTGATTATAAGTTTATTTATAATTATTTGCGATGATCCAGTGTTGTTAATCTTGTACCCTCATGATTCCTATAAAGTTTTTGTTTTATAGAGAACCAAATCTTTTAATCTAGTACACCCTTTCTTTACCAACTCTGTACTAACCAAAGCTCAAATTAACTGCGTCTGCCCAGGTAAAAATACCGGTTTATCCGTCCTGAATCCCTGAATGTCACAACTTTTTTAACTGACCCTATTTTTATGAATCCAGATGCTTGCTGCTCTTATCATTAGAATAAAATATTATTTAATACTAGCTGTAACCCGCGGGCTTTGCCCCGTTTAACTTCTTAATTTTCAAGATTATATCGTTCCCATGGCTCAATCACGTCCTGGTTGAAGTTTGTTCGCTACGCTCACTCACCTTTAGGTTGGAGCTCGTTCGCTACCCCACTCACCTTTAGGTTGGAGCTCGTTCGCTGCGCTCACTTGCCTTCAGGTTAGCTCGTTCGCTACGCTCACTCACCTTTTGGTTGCAAATTAGCTGTTGTCATAAATGTAAAAGAAATAATAGTGCTGCACCCTGTTGGTAATCCTTGTAACTTTAATGCTATTGAACATCATAGAACAGAACCAACTTGTTTAATTGAAACAGCTGTTAAGATTCAATAATTCCATTTCTCATAAGGTTAACATGGGAAACTCCAGAGCCACTGGGGCGGAGCCCAAAAGGATTTTTGAAATAAGAATATGCCTATATGTTAATCGGGAATGTGAGCTATCATCATGCCAAATTTCAGCCCAATCCGACCAGTATTTTTCGCGTTCACTTGTCACAAACATACATCCATACATCCATACATCCATACATCCATACATCCATACATCCAAACTTTCTCATTTATAATATTAGTAGGATTAGTAGGATGGTAGGTTTAGTTTTGTATTTAATAAAGTGACAAAAAAGAAATCAGTTTTTTTATTTATGTTTACATGGTTCTTTGTTTTAACCAATCTTTTGGGTTATCTGACTAGTAAAAAGTGTTGGTTAAGACAGTTTTCCAACCTTTTTCCCTAACGCATTACTTCACAAAACATAAATATGTTGAGTACTACTTAGGTAACTATAGATGAAAACTATAACTATAGATGATGTAACTATTTTTTTTTATTTCACTAACTTCGCTAATCTATATTTCAATCATAAGTATAAACTTTTCCCGAGAACATTATTTTCACAATTTATGAATATCTGAATGAACTACTCAGAGTTAAGTACAAGAGTTTTAATTTCCCCAATGATACTTGAGTGTTATTGTCTTCGGTCCCTGTCACTTAGTTTTTTAACGGTAAGCTAACAAAATAATCTTTTCCTTGTTATTATATCTTATTAAAATACACAGACCCCGATAGTATTTCACCTAATGCTAACGCACCAGCTCATACAATCCTGACAAGATGATACTTTAACTTGGAACACCTAAATGTACCACGGCAGTGGCCTCTGGGTACCCACGTAGAAGTATGGTACAGAGAAAAACGCTTCTTATAGGACAGGTGTACGTTTTCAGCTCTGAGATGTTGTGCCGGAAATACACTTGTGACGAGAAAGGAAGAGCCTGAACATCAAGCACTGTGCAGAAATTCCTATCATTCAGTTTCTTCCACCGTAAGTATTGTAGTACATGAGGGCAAGGAGCGTTGTTGGACTTTGTCCAAGACACCAGTGACTAGTATTTGACACCACTTAAGTTTACGATGGAGTGTATCATCTGTTCCTTACTTCTCTGTGGCACACAGGTTGGGAAACCCTAAAAGTGTAGTATAATTATAGTTTTCCAATATTATCACATTATTGTGTGTGTAGCATATGAGAGAGGCCACCAGCGTCCGGCTCTGACAGTCTACACGTTCCACGCCCCCGAGGGTTGCCAGTCACAGCCCAGCAGCCCGACCCCCGTGTCACCCCCACAGAGCGGGGCTCTGCCCCCCCGGCCACCCATACCTCAGCGGTGCTCCTCTCTAGAACGCCCCACTGTACCTGCCAAGTCCTCCCCTCTGGCTATGTACTCCCAGCCTGCTGAGCAGACCACTGATTGCTGTAAGTGTAGCTTGTTTGTATCAGTTACTGTCTTAGTAGTAGTATTCCCAGAATTTATTTATTTTAACCAGACCTCAAAAGATTTATTCTTTACAGTAATGGTTAAGTTAAAAATTATCTCTTAAGCGTACAATTCCCATTGTTGTCAAATATTGCAGTAAAGTTTATTTATTATTCCAATGATATCAGCTGTTTTTGTCTTAAGAAACTTTACAGTCCTGAATATTTTGGATATATCCAACTTTTTAGGTTGAATTTGTGGCATCTTTTCCCACTAATTAAGACCTTTAGTTTGATGTCCATATCAACCTATGCTTACCTTTAAGATTTCCACTTACTCCTCGTGGGACAATCCCCCTTATTAGAAAAAAATTATAGTTCATTAAAGCAGTATATTTTATGAGTATAATCAGTATAAGAAATTTGATTAGTTTTCACACCATATCCCACAAATTTGTCTAATAGGCATATGCGAGACAATAATCCACGCTTGTTTGTATAGGTTCAACCCAGCCTATGTACGTGAACATGCATGAGTTGGCGAGCATGGCTGCATCTAAGGCTCAGGAGATGGTGTTCCCCCCTCCTCCTCCAGAACTGTCTTCCGATCATCATCCTGAGAAGGTTTGTTTGTCAATATCATTATACTGTAGCTAATGTTTTTTGGTTGTCAAATCTGTTTTGTTGATACACACCTTTTTTACGAGCCACTTTTCCTCCTATGGTGGCCAATATCTGATCCTGCCATCTTAATTTTTACCTGATTGCCTTTTGCCTTCATGGTTACCTAGTCTTGTTGACAAAGATTTGTGAGATGAATTGTATTCTTTCGCCTATATAAGAGAAATAACATATTTCATACAGCAAGCATTTTTATACTGCAGCAAAAGCGATTCTTTTAAATAAATGTGTTGGGGTGGGACTCTCGGGCAAAAAAGAATCAATTCAAGTCAAGGACATTAGCTTTATTATACTCATTTTCACTTTTTTTTCCTACATTTATTTTATAGTCCTGATTTTTACATGTAACCATACACAGACATTTTGGAGCTAAATTTTAAGGTAAATGGTGTTAAAATCAGCTTAAACCAATGGTGAAGTGAAAAAATACAGTACATATCTCAGCCAAAATGTCGTTTGGACCACTCGTCAAATATTGTTTAACTAGAGTTTGTAATAAAAGTCACTCTAGCCCCTTGATGAAATTTACTAACACGTATTTTGAATTTATATGGCTCAACAGTGTGAGGATTCATCAGGAAGTTGTCATTTAGAACATTTGTAACTGTAAACGTTGTGAAGTGGTTTTGTTTCCCACAATTTCACCGTGCTACGTTGTTTGCTCCACAGACTGAGGGACAAGAGAAGGAAAGTTCTACGAGTGAGAGTTCTCTAGAGTCCAGCAGTGGCTACGGCAGTCAGACCATGCCCGGCGGTGTCGACGACTCTAACATGACAGCTCATCATGAAGGTACGTCTCTACATCCAACACCCTAGCATGGAGTTGTGTGGTACACCCGATGATTGGTGTTAATTTTACCATCTCATTTCATTCATCACCGTTTTTATTGACTGGATTCTATCACGTTCACAAGATTGAATTTCAACACTTGATTATATTTTTTAACCGCTTATTGATTCTTAAGTAGAGATGATTTTTTTAAGACTAAAATGTTTGGATTGTTTGTTTGAATAACAGTTGCAGTTTTTGTGTTTTGTCTGTGAATTATTAAAATAATGGTCGTATTATTCTCCAGTATTGAACGGTTTCTATTAATTATTAATTGTCATAAATGTATAGAATGATAATTTGCTACCAGGTGAATCTAAACCTTTTGTTTCTATTCCATCTTCATAAAATAGACAATAAATTTTCTTATTTTTACGTAAGTATATCAGTATATGAAATAAAACCTTTTAAGCTATTCTGTTTTTTCTGTGAGGAAAAAAGTAGGGATGGACGAGATTGGATTTTTAGTTCGAGACGAGACGAGACGAGATTTTTTATTTCTCATAAAATTTCGAGACGAGATCGAGACGGGATTTGCCTTCTCATACACAACGGGAAATGCACGTTCAAAATCTTTACCTGATTTTGTAACATTGTTAGATGACTGTTTAAATACAAAAATAATGATAATAGGCAAGAATATTTACAAAATTTTATTAAAAAACATCAGCATAAAATTTTTTTTATTAATCACGCCTAACATATTATAAATGCCTACGATTAGGAAACATAGTCATATCAGTTAGGATAGAGTTCAACTTATCCTAAAATAAAATAAATCATAAAATAAAAGTAATATTAATTTTTATAAAATAGTTACTTGTTTTGACTTTTTTTATAGTAATAAAACATTCCTTACACTGCTTACACTTAACAAAACTTCTCTAATGTTATTAAAGTAATAATATTAAAAAATAATTAAAGTAATATTTACATTTAAAGAATCAATTAAACAAGAACGCCTTTGCAAAGGAAACGCAACTACAACGCGCTCCTGTATTGCACATTGCATTGACTTTCTGCAGGCGTTTTAAATATTTTTTTTTTTATTTTTTATTTTTTTTTTATTCTTGTCTCGAACAAAATCTCGGCCAAAAAGAAATCTCGTCTCGTGTAACGAGATTTAAAATTTCCCGAAATTTCGAGACTTGACCATCCCTAGAAAGCTTAGTTTTCTATTTACTGTTATTTTAGGAATTTACTTAATTCAGACTACAAAATGTGTCTTGTTTCTATTGTAATACTGTATTATGTTTCATAGCATTTTGACCAATTGGTTTAAATGAAACCAAAGTTAAATGGAATGTACAGAATTATTTCAAAATACATTTCTTCTCTCGATCATCATTTGATTATTGCACTTAAAATCACTTATGTTTTTACAGTTTACTACCCAATTAGTTTAGATACTCTGTGTGTTTTAATTTATTTCTTCAAGTTTGTTCACTGGTCACCCAAGAATATCCAGTACTAAACATTCAAGCATAACTAACGCAACTAACACAACAAACTTTTTCTACAAGAATTTGGGTTTTTTTGTACTAATTGAATGGGATTAACAGCTTTGGAATACTTTAAACAATCAAAGTTTTCTAAATTGGGATTAATCTACATAACAATACAGTACTTTTGAAGTTTTTTTATTGAACTTAACCTGTGAATGTGTTGCTTCAAAAGTAGGCCTATGTAAAAGGCTGGATAGCTTGGGTTAGGCCTACCCTTACACCTTTGTTTACCAATTAAACACAATGATAACTGGATCTCTTATCTTCTTATGGTTTTGAAATATGAGTTAAAATCTAAATCCTTTTTAACCTAAAGAGTTGTTGAAATAGTGGTTGCCGAGAATAAATTTCTCGTAGAGGCCTGGATTTAATATTGTCAATATTAATGGCATTGCCATACCAACTCGCAGAGTTTTTAATTCTACCAATCAGCACAGCTGCAGTTTTCATTAATGGAATCACCATGACCCGTGGTAAGAAACTCGACTTTGGCTGTAAATTGTACTTCTATTTATACTTGTTGATACATCAGCACATTCAAGACTTGAAAATAATATTATTTCAGAAAAAAACACATACTGTAGTTTAATTTTAACCATACTGATTTTATTTTAGTCATAAATAAATACACACGCACTGAAATGTAATTATTTACTCATTTAATTACTTACAATCTCGCCAAGATTTGTTTGAAAAGTTCAGTGATTATTAGTCTTTACTCTTCAAACCAATGCCAAACCATACCTCCTTGGTTACAACCCTATTTTATTCTTAGAAGTTTTTTTGAAGTTTTTTTGGTGTAATAGTAAATTTTTGTTATTTAAGGGATTGTTATGATCCATCATAATATAACCATCCACTTATGGAAAATAAATGGAAATATATATTAAATCCATAACTTACGGACAATATTTCTACTTTTACAACATTGTTTTGGGATCTAAAACCTTATTCCATCCTTTCTAGGTGCTTTCTCACCTGAGTTGGGATAAGATTCCAGATCCTGAAACGTTATAAACACTTTGTTTTAATTAATTGTGAAAAAAAATTCTTTGCAATAATCCTTTAAATAATCTATTTTCTCCGTGCATTAAAGTTCCGTAAAAGAATTCTCCAGGAAAGGTTGACTAAACCAACCAATTTTATATTTCAGGGAAGATAAACAATTCTTTTTTTTTTTGTCAAAGCAGATAGGTGATTGTTCCAGTGTAAACTAAAGTATTATACACGCTAAGATTATACATTGTAACAATTTATCAAAAATAGCAAATTGTTCCAATTGATTGTAGCGTGTACACCGGCCTGCCTCACGATTTATCATTGTAATAAATTGGTCAATCAGATCGTCACAGTTTATTGTAGTGTGTACCTTAAGAGAGGGTCAGCTGTAATTTGGATTATTCACTAGCTGTGTATGAGTGTATACTGGTCCAGTTATCATTGTCGTGTCACGTGTGGCGTGTGATGTGTGAGAGTGAGACAGTGCATGTTGTTGGTAGTGTCGGACCCTGGTAGTGATATGGCCGCTAACAAGTATTGCACGCTCCCCCGGACAAATCCAGACCTGCGCCGTCGTCCGTTCTCCACCTCAGGTATTGTGATTACAGTAGAACCTCGATAACAAGTCTCGTGGGGATTATCGAATAAGACTTGTTATCAAGGTTGACTTCTTGTCGAGGTTTGCAATTACATGTGATTAAGGGGTAAAATAAATTCTAGGAAATTTGAAAATGGCACTTATAGTGTTTTGCTATCGAGGGTTTTGTTATCAAGAGTTTTGTTATCAAGAGTTTTGTTATCAAGAGTTTTGTTATCAAGAGTTTTGTTATCAAGAGTTTTGTTATCAAGAGTTTTCTTATCAAGAGTTTTGTTATCAAGGTTCCAGGGTGACATTTTGGTCAATATTCTATCTGTAGATAGAAAAGGTATAAACAGATTTTATTGAATAAATAATATATAAACTCAACTTACTAGAAATTAAAGTTTGCCAAATCATCTCCATTTTTTTCTGAATTTGATAGTATTCATTAATTTTGTTGTGTGCCTAAAGTTTCTTTTCCAAAGAATTATTTCGTACCGGTAGCCCTTACCTTGTGGTAGATGGGTTCCACCTAAGTGTTCAGCAAACAGGACTTGCGGTATTTTACTGATAGACTGCAGCTGTCAATGAACATATATAAAACCCTCTAAATCTAAATATTTTTTTACTTTGTGTACTTTTGATACCGTAAGAAATTTAAGGAAGTCATTTCAATTTTTTCCCAAAAACTGTTCGTACATATAAAACCTGTTGGTATGTTTTCAAAAACTATTAAATCATATTAATCCATCAGGGAAAGTTCACCCACCAATTTTTTTATATTTAATGTATGTCGCTTAATCAGCTGTTGAGCTATTATTTTAAAGGTAAAGGGTCAAGTGAAGGGGATAGATTTCTTCCCATAAAACCGTGTAAATATTATGAACAAAGTATAGTGAGGACTACCTGTAGAAAGTTTTACAAAAAGATTTAGATTACTTGTGAACCTATAGTTTTAGCTGATAATATAATGGTAAATAAAAATAAGCTACTCAGAAAAGCTGCTGCATTTCAGACATTGACAATGTGTCAATTTATGTTTGGGTGTGTTCATTTTACATACCTAATACAAAAAATTTTAGAGTGTAGCAAAGTTAGTCTGTGTTATTTTTCATGACAAGTTTTGGCTTAAGGATTTTTTCATACCAATTACAAGTTGAATTTTTTTGTGTATTTAATCTACAACCCGTTTACAAAGTTGTTATTTTCCACAGGTTACCCTTCTGGCACAATGCGCAACACTTTGCTACGCCGAGGCTCCATGCAGCAACAGAAACCTCCTCCGCCAATACGGAGGACATCTTCTATATCCAGGGGAGTGTCGTCTGTTCTGCCAAACAACAACAATGGAGGAGGAAGCTTGGAACACCTCCCCCCTCCTCCGGCCTTCCTATTGGAGGGAGGTGGAGCTCGCAACATCTCCAACACCAACAATGTAGCCGATATACAGAGGAATGTCGCTTCGTCTATCGCAGCAGAAATACAGAAACGTAACGCAGTTGGTAACGTGTCTGAGTATCAACGCACGGCAGCTCTAGGTATCGCCGCAGAGTTACAGAGGAAAGTAGCCCAAATGTCAGACAGGGGAAACCAGAAGAATGTTGAACAGATTTACGCCGAGAGGAAGGTCGTGGTGAAGGAATCTAGCGGAGGAATCAGCGTGGCCGAGACTGTTAGAACGCTGACTGAACTCAAGCATCAGCCGGCCAGTCCGGTGAGTGTGAGACGAACTCACAGCACGAGGTCGCAGAGCTGCGATCGTCGCATGGAGGCTGCAACAGGACTGATCGCATCACTGAGTGCCAAACTGACACCAACACTGTCACCACGACACTCGCGACGCCACTCGCAGGAGAACGCAAACAACCGAGCCAACCGAGTGAGGCAGTGGATCGCTGTGAGGACAGTGGCCGACCCGACCATCTGCCACGACTCTCTTATGGACCAGATAAAGCGAGGAACCTCCCTGAAAAAGACTAGAGCTGTCAATGACCGTTCCGCCCCCAGGATACACTAGGTGTATTGATGTGATGTGTTCTGTTTTGCGCCACAAACTGAGAGTTCTGCGTGTCTGAATGTTTAATCACTAATCCCAATCGTTTATACAGTATTAGGTAGGTACTTAATCGGTGAAAAACAGTGTAGGCCTGCTTTTACAACAAATGAATGTCTGAAGATGGCACTGGACATTTTATTTAAAACACAAACAGGCAACATATATTGCTCGTTTTTGTCCAAAATTTGTTGATCCAGGATCTCTGCGCAGGTATAATTGACCCTGAAGCTGAATTTCTCAGATATACTCAGTTTTAAGCAATTCACTACATTTTCGATTCTACAGCAGTGTGCTTCTTCTGGACTTAAATATTTTAGTTTACCATACCGGTTTTTGAAACTGAATAAAAGGCTACACTGTGTAAACCGATTGGTGATAAAACCTCAGATAATGACGATACACTTTAAAACCACTTTATTAAACGTAAGGGATTGGATAACTATATGGTTTCTGATTAAAAAATCATATTTTAGCTCTAATAATTCCTTTTTCTGATCTAAGGATTATATTTATAAACAATTTATGTTACTCTAAAAGTTATAAATATATTTTTGCATTTCATGTATACTTAAACTTGTGAAATCACGTTTTGATTCAAGCTGTCTAATTCAATGTGGTTAAATTTGATAGCTTTCTAGATGGTTCAGTATTTATTTTGTTCTATTCAGGTACAATTATTAACTTTAAGAATTAATTTACTTCTTTTGACATAAATATCTCCCTTACCATGTAATGAATAGAATCAAAACATGAAAAATAGTGTTCGCATACGACTGATTCCGGTGTCAAAACTTAAGTGTTTGTAGTATAGGAAGGTAAATGACTTAAATTATCTTCCATCTCCAGTCTGCTTGTTTTATAAGAGCTTATCTGGCCTAAGTGTAAATGTAATTGTTACTTCCCCAACGTTGTTGAAGTCTAGAGATGCTATTTTTCGATCTCGTTCTACTGACTGAGTAAACCGTTCACTGTATATTTTCTGATTGATTGTACGCCAAAGCATTAGTTTGATGCTGTAGAAAAGCGATTAAAATAATGTTGTATAATTCAAATAATCCGGTTAGTTTACTTTTTTTGTATAACAGTTTAAAAATGGGAAAAACATGTTTTTGAAGCAGATGGTGGTGTGCTTCGATAATTTTTTCAGGTTTACTTATTAATTTTCTTATTCTGTTATTAAATGAGCATGAATTGTTCTGTTAGCGCATTCCATATGAGTTGAGGAGTAGAGCACATGTATTATAGTCTAATTTAGTATTTCATTGTATGTATATTTTCCCTACATTGTTGATTTGTTGGATAGGTAAAGACGTGAGACGTTCATGTTCATATCCTGGGGCAAAAAAGCTGCCCGATTGTACATTCTGCGGGTTTGAATATTTATTGTTGTTGTTATCTAATGTAAATAGTGTACTTCGATGCAACAGAAAATGTTTTGCTGACATTTTGTATCGATTGAAGAACTGCTTAATATTAAGTAAGATCTCTAAGATGTCCAAAGCTAATATTGTGTAAGCCTAGAGTCATGTTAAGGGTAGTTTAGGGGATTTGTATTACAATTAGGGACCGGTGTTTGCTGCTAATAAGAGGTTTCTGCTCATTGACAGTTATTTTATTCAAGAGTGCTTTTGAGTCGGTTCAATTCAAACTGCTAACAATAGACTACATTGTCCATCCGTATCAAACCTGGATTTCTCAGCGTTTGTCACACGTATATAATTTATTTGTAATTATTTCTAAGTTAGTTAATTCTACGTTTAGTCATACAAATATCAGATTCAAATTCATTGCAATTTGTAAGCTGTAAATCATTGTAAATATTTTTGAAAGGTTTGTATTTTGAAATGTAGAAGGGTGTAGGATATAATGTAATAGTTCCTGTGTCGTCTGTATAAAATGTTGTATTTATTCTGTCTTGGCTACATTTCTAATTCAGCTCAAAGTCTTCTTCTTAATTTATTTATCTGGCAATACGTTTAATCATTTACAAAACAAAATCTTAACTAATGTTTGTCCAAGGACTTGTTCTGCAGCTTTTTACTCTAAACTGTATTCGTGTTATGCAGCTTGTACTGTGCTTTAAATTACCATACAATTTTTTTTCATGCAGCTCTGTTACTTAAATATATTCTATGGACAAAACAAGCAGTTTTACACTATTCAGTAACGTTCAAACAATTTGTTATAAGTACTTAAAGGCATGTTTACTAAGGCCAAATCTCATAAATGCCTTTTGTAAAAATTCTTTTTTCTTTTACGTTTTGTCCATAGATATTCAACCGATAAACTTGAGATCTTTTTTTTTGCAAAAAGATATTTCTTCCAAGTTTATAAACTGTTTAATATAACTGTAACTGCCATGTTATATCAGTAACTTAAGTTTTACATTTGAAATGGATTATACATTTTGTTAATTTTTGGAATAGAGTAATATTTTTATACACATTTGTATCGTTTACCAGTTTCCATAGTATCCAAGCTGTATTGTACCTTCCCAGATGGAATTGAGTGTTTATAAGATGTCACTCTATTGACTATCAACATTTGGGCTAAACCTTCAATTGTTTCACAGGTCAAGCATTTATTATGTATCAATAAAATATTATGTACTCAATGTTCTGTTTATTCATAACTCAAACACCAACTGTGATTTTGCTATGGTTGGAATTCTTGAAATAGTCCCGGTGTTTAAACGGTAGTTTTTCAATGGAGTTGTAAAGAACAAGGAAAAATATGTGACTTTTTAAGTCTTAAAACAACCATGCAAAAATACAAACAGATTTAGAGACTTTTTTTTTCTTTAGGTAGTTGTAAATTTTTTTGTAAAGCCGAGTTTTCCTAGGCGCGGAAGTGGAGAGCGGAGAGAGGAACGCGGAGAGTGGACTCCACTTGTCTTAGGTAATTTAATGTTACTGTTTTCCTAGAAGCGGAGTGGAACAACTTGTTTTCCGCTCTCTTTTCCTCTCTCCACTTTCCTCTCTCCGCTCTCCGCTTCCGCGCCTAGGAAAACTCAGCATAAAGGACAGGTACAAACACAAATCTTGTGCGCTCTCATGAATTAAACATATCCCTTTATACATTAAATCCTGAGGAGGCACCTGTCAAATTTTTAAGACTTCTGCCATATAGAATAGCTCCGCCGTACAACGTTGCAAGTGACAAAAGTAAATATTTTCAGAAAATACAAAACCATTACTGGCCCTGCTAATGCCAAAATAGCCTGTTTCTCACTCATTCAATCGCTTGTAATTGCTGCCAACCTAGGGTTTTCAAAAACAAAATATTTTACTCAGTAAAGAATGACATTTGCATTTTTTCTTTAAAAATCTCAATTTCACCATATTGTTTGTGAACATTGTTTGGCAGAAATATTGAAATGAGGGTGTTTAATTGTTGAAACTGATCGTTCGTCATTTAACCTATTTTTAAACTTTTTAACTAAAACAACTCCTCAAAAGTTGCACACCAACCGGCCTGTGACAGAATTGTCACAGGAAACACTCAACCTACAGTGGCTGGGAAGACGATTCCTTAGACTGGGTACACATGAAAGTAATAAGCATTCTGCATTAAAGCTAGCAGAAAATCCTTGCGTAGGTACACAAGCCAGTGTTGCATCACGCTGAAGTATGTTTTTAGCATTTTGACACGTCCCAGTATAGCCATGGAAGTTAAAGAGACTGTATTTGTTTGGGTTTCGTAACTTATACACCTTTAAGAAGGAGGACATTTATTTTTGTACAGTTTAAAGTTCATACTGAGTACTGACTCAATATAAGGATGATCAGTGGCGGTGATAAGAGCCCGCGGGCCACCCGCAAGTTTGTTCGCCAGGCCCCCTTCTCCCAATAATCTTTAAAATCATCACATGTATTATCGCCTAAACTTGCACTTTAGCTTGTCACAGCATCTCCCGAGGCACCAAGGCATCATCGTTGTCTTCCATGATCATGGCAAAATCGTGAATACTTCCCGTAGTCATGGAAGAAACATTAGCCTATCATAGAAATCCATGGTGATGGTTTTCGGCGTCAACCACGTCGTCAGTTGTATTTCACTGCCAGACGTGTCACCCTTACTATGAAGTGGCACCCTCAGATGGCTAGGCTGAGACTCAGCCATGTGTACTCTATCCATCTGAGATCACTGGTCTCAAACCGTCCCCACAAAAAAAAAAGGTCAGGAGACAAATTTATGATAAAGTTGCTGTAAACATAAAAGCATATTTATTGACTAGATTTAGATACATAAAGTCTTACACAGCCTATCTAACTAAAGAGTGTTAAAAAGAGTTCATACAATATTTACATTATCTGCAAAAAGTACATTAAAATGTGCCTAATGTACAAGAAGCAATATTTAATGAAATCATATTTACATTAGTTAAAATTACATTCAGTACCCTCAAGAGAAATATACTTCTAGGTCTTTGTGAAAAAGAAATTATTTACAGTGTATTTTGTCAATCTCAAAACTTGAGTAATCTTAACTTGTTGAAATATATACATTAGGATTAGACTAGTACAACTATTGGTAACTTTAAAATAAACAGTGTTTTTATTTGTCACTCACTGAGTTGGTTAAAGTAAATAATAGGCCTTAAGAGAATTTAGGCCATAAAATGAGATCCGTAGTGGTCAATGCCAAATAAAAATGTACAAAAAACATTTGTGCTTGACATAATATATATTTTTTAAATTAGTGAAATCAGTCATTTGTAATACTAAAAGAAACAATACTGCTTAAAAACCTTTGAAAAACAGAATCCACTGTCCCCAAAGTAGGTTTGTGAATATTCCATCTGTTCATTTTAGTTTTCAGGAAACAAGTTAAATTGCATTGAAGCTACAGTTTTATACGAATTTATTGGTTGGAGAATAAAGAGTGTGAGTTATAGTTTTTCTAACTTGTAAGAAGAAAAAGTTTAGAAGCTAGTAGGTTGGTTTAAGTATCGTGGAAGGGCTTCTCAATTAATTATTTGTTTCCATTATTAATCACCAAAGCTGGGGAAAGTGATATAAAGTGTGATTTCAATACCAAACAGCTGATTACACCCTGTTGTACTTATTTTTGATCAAATTGTAATATCAAACATATGATTAAACCCAGTTGTATATGTTTTTGGTCAAATTTTAATATTGAACAGCTGACTACACCCTGCTGTACATATTCTAAGTGAATGTCATGTGCTTACATGTCCCAGTGAATTAATTTTGACAAATTGATAATTTCTTCCAATTTCAAGGTTGTACAATAGACTTCCAATTGTTTGGATACAACACGAGGTTTGAGTTGCAAGCAATCTCATTATGTACCAGCTGTTTGTTATGTTAGATACAGTGTTCCCTTATTGTTCAACATGCCATTGTACTTAACTAATTTTGCACAAATACAGTATTGAACAGTTTCAAAACATAGCTTTTGTGATTAATATTTGGACATTGATGATGTCCTTAAAAGGAGGTTACTCATCACAACCAATATTTCATCTTTGATACGACTAGACATTCCATCCCCTTGTTAGATCTGTAGACAGTTTTAGGATAAAAATGGACGTACTGGTAATTGAATTTGAGCCACCTACAGTGTTTTAAACTCAAGTTAGTTACTGAATTGTCAACTTTTTTTCCAAGCTTAATTAAAAGGATGACTTGTAATGGAAACCTGGAGATTAGAGTCCGAAGCTAATAGGTACACAAATCAACATGACATTTAATTTCTCTTTATTACTTCAATCTACTTCTTGAAGAAGCCCTAGAAATATCATTGTTATGTTTTGTGATCTTTTATTTCCGTATCTTAACCCTTGAACTCTAATTGTCCTAGGAAAGCTATCTGAACTATACCCATCTTCAAACAATTATTATAAACCATAGGATCTTTGATGACAAATCACGTATCGTTGTAACAAAAACCGAAGACGAAACCAGAATAACACCACTCTTTGTGATCGGCTCACTGTTTTCGAATAGAAAATCGACTACAGCAATTGTGTGTACCATAGATTTCTACTTCAGTATCCTGAAGAACCACCTCCGAGTCCTAATTCTTGTACATGTCGCACAACACCTTCTCCATGGGTGTGTTGCCGATGGTTCGCTGGAAGAAGATGTTCTCTATCCGCTGTGTAGGGACGGCTCGTAGCAGCGGTAGCATCAGCAGTAGTCTGCCGAACCTCGCGGCGTGTGACGGGTGTGTAGACCTGGTGTGTTGACCTAGCATCACTTGCGCCTGGTCCTGTAGATTCTCTACTTGGAGAGGGTCCTTCAACCCCCGCGTTTCTGCAACAGGCCGCTCTACTTCAAAAGTGCAACTGTTCGTGGCTCGGAAGACTTTGGGAAATTACTTATTTATTTGTAGTATTTTTAAGAACTTTCCATTTTTGTCTGTAACGTAATCCTAAAATTATGAAAGATCAAAAACTTTAAGAAAAAAGGAAAAGCGGGATTGTTGAACTTCACAGGATCAAGTTTTATAAAAAAAAATCCAATGCAGGTCAAAGGTTATTAAAATTTATCCTCAATAACATAAAGAGAGACAGATTTTAATAGTTTTAAGAAATAATCCAAAAATTATATCATTATTGTTTTTATTACTTTTACTGTTATATTATTTACTCTTTCCATTATAATTGTACCTTGAACCGCCTTTGTAGTAAAATGTGAATTATGAATATAAATGTAAAGACCTCAAAATTGGTGGCTTGCTGAAGATGCCAATTATATAAGCCGGGAGTAAAACCCATGATTATTTATCAACTAAAATCAATAAATTAATTATTGCTTATTTCTTGGTGTGTAAACGTTCTTGTAAGACTGAAACAAAAATATTTTAATTACCTGCCCTGAAGAGAACGATGGCTTTGAGGCAGGCGAACTCCGCGGGGTCTACTCCAACCAAGCGGTACCTCTGTAGAACATCGTTGAGGATTCGTACCTTTGGAACAATAGAAAGTTATCTTATATTCCGTAAACATAGTGAGCTTTTCAGAAACTTTTAACAGTGCCAATATGTTTAGAATGTTATAAATGTGTCCACAAGCTTCACCTTTATTGAAAAATACTTTTATCTGTCTGTCCTTTCAATATGGAAAAACAACTGGAACAAAATGATATTTTATTTATATTTCTATTTCATATATAAAATACAAAGATAGCCCATACAAGCACAGAAAACATACTAGTATAACCCAGAATGCCAACCGCATGGTAAAAAGCGTTAAGTACTTTGAGAGAGCTTTGCCTGTCAATGTACTTAACGCTTTTTACCATGCGGTTGGCATTCTGGGTTATAGTAGTATGTTTTCTGTGATACAAGTGGACTGTCATATAGTCATTTTTGTGTGTATTTATTGTGGTTTAAATGCGGTGACTTCTCTAAAAAAATAAATGTTGTGATCTCTGAAACTATGTCCAAGAAAATAGTTGATCCTAGTGATCAAAAGGAAAATGCCACTTGATGAAAGCGCTGCTGTCTACATACAGGTAATCACAGAGTCATATCCAAGCAACTAACAAGATTCTGCATTCTCAAATCTCAAGGTACAGTAGACTACCTATTATCCGGACACCTTTTAACTGGACATCGGTTTAACCAGATTACACCCGGATGAAGTGACACATCTTTAAACATAAAACTTTTATCAGTACATCGGTTGGACTGCATCGGCAGGAAATGGGTGGTACTGATACGACTTTTCTCGAGGGAATGATTTGAGACCATGATTACGTGTATAAATACAATGCTCCCCCAAATTTAAGTTTACAACAAATTTTCAACACAAATTCTCACAACAAATTTTCAGGTTATTGGGTTATATCTCATAAAATTCCACTTTTTTATTGGAAATGCCATGAAGCCACGTGCATTGAAAAACTGATGTTCTCATATACACACTCATATACACATCGTCTCTTTCTGTACACAAGGCACAAAATCAGCAAAGTTTTAGGTGTTGTCGGTTTAACTAGAAAATCTGTAATCCGTACTGACGTTGGTCCCGAGGAGTCCGGGTAAAAGGAAGTCTACTGTAGTATAGTGGAAGCAGAAATAAGAAAATAGTTTACCTCGGCGGCGATCTGACCAGCCTTGCCATTAGGGGACATAGCAAGATGTTCAGTTACGTTGAACAACGGGCTCGTGTCTAGCGGAAGACACCATTGAACTGCGTTGAGGAGGAACAGTTCTGACCAGCACTCCTCTAGAAGGATAACCTACAGGAACAGGTACATACTGAATTACAATATTCAACACTGCCTTATGGTTCTTAGTTTGTAGACAAAAATATACAATACTATTTCTTTATTCCTTCAAAAGTTATGGCCATCGTCAATAGGGTGGTGGGGTGAGAGGCTTTGGGTAGCTTTGGGTACTGACAGTGGTGTCATAAATTTTCCAGGTCAGGAACGCTGACAATAATCACGGAAAAAGGACAGGTGGCCAATTATTTACAGTATAGGATTTTGGGAGAAGCTGGGTGGGAACGTCATACCTCACTCGTTCCCATTCCACTACACCACTGGTTACTGACTGTGAGACTGTGACCAGTAGTTTCTTTAGCCAGGACCTTTTATTAAAACAATGATCAATGAAAACTGAGTAAATTCTAACTGTTAAAAAGCTACAGAAAAAAAATACAGTACAGCATATTGCATATAGGACAAGAAATCTGAAAAAAAGCTGTTTGAAACCGTGGAAAAATTTTACTTTGATAAAAACAGTTGAAAGAGAATAATTTTTTTTTAAAGTTACAGTACTGCAAATTGCATTATTAAATTGTCTAAACGTTGAAGACAGTAAAGTTAAAATTAACCTTGCTCCTCACAACTTCAACTGACTGAGTTGCAAAAAACTAAAGCAAAGGATATTCTTATCCTTAACTTTGTCTCGTCTCTCCTCAATCGAGTGACTGGCGGAAGCGATTTGTCCAGTGACTCGACCGAGGTCGAACAACACCTATAACACCTGACTGACCACGCCTCACTCCACAACCTCATTGATCAAAGCCTATCAGTAACACCTCAGTGACTCGGACTCTTTGAGGATATCCACCTCGTGATAAGTCATAATTTAAAAACCCTTCTTTCAGCGATTCTTCCAGTTCAGGTATGAAAGGGATCAGTGATTTTTCATTTTTTCAGAGTTAGTGGAAGATAAGAGGAGCTTTATCAAGATATACGAGGGTGGAAGAGGCTTAAAAACTCACAAAAGAACAGTTGCTGAATCAAAAGTAGGGATGATAATTCAAAGATTTCGAAAATCTGTTCATAAGGTTTGTCTTTAAGGATAGCATAATCCATAGGAGTGCAATCATAGAGTCCATCGAATGTAGCATTAGAAGTTTTGCAACTTGACTCAAAGCAAGGGAACATACAACTGATTTGTGTATAGTCTATTCAAAAAATTTAGGCGGTTTAAAGGAAAGGTCACGTGAGTTCCCCCACCACTTCTTTTAGCTTAATGTGTTTATCAGCTGATCAGCTGTTGGCTTTTGTTTCAATGTTAGGATGAGGTGGAGGGTGGAGGGGATGAAATCGCTTCCCCTCAAACCAGCTAAATTTTGTGAACGGAATATAAAATAAATTGTGAAAAGAACCCCTTCCTTATGCTGAGTTAGCTAATTTAATTGTAAATTTTTTTCTAGTTAGCTACATCTTCAACTTGATCACAGGGGTCAGACTGACATAGAAAAAAGGTGAGAGGAATTGGAACAACAACCTCTTAAAAAAAATCCCTTGTCAAAGCAAAGTAGCCTAAACCACTTAGCTTAAATTTAGTGATCCAGAGGCTACTACAGCATGAAATTCATCCTTCACTCCTATACTACTACTATGGTAGATCTTTTTCTTAAAATACCATACCATTTCTGGTCAATTCAAATCAACCAACCTGATCTCTGAATGGAAGAGAAGCAAACGAAGGTAGGTTCTTGGCCCATTTTACCGCCATGAAGAGTAGTCTTGCAGAGGTCTCGTAGACTGTCTCATGAGCTGGATGGTACAGAGGTGTTGTCTCAGGGGGTGGAGGGGGCTGGGGGGGTACAGAGGTACATGACGGGGGCTCCTCATTGGTCACATCAATACTATCATCTGTAAACAAATTCATTGACAGTTTCAATAATTCGTGGTGTAAAAGGTTAATCAAAAATTTATGTGAAAATAGCAAGCATTCCTAAATGGGAACAAGAAGCGCAAAACTTAACACTATAGTATTTCACTATCACTAGCAACATTTTCAACTGAGGAAGGTTGGAGTTGCTAAGGATTGTACTCTCTCTTTCAACTAGAACTTTCCTCGGTTGAAAATGGCTGTAGTAGTTAAATATTTAATTTTAGTGTAGTGAACATTTTTTGTGTTGTCAGAGTGGACTCTTTCTCATCCAGGTAAGCCTGATATCCTTGTAACGATTCCTAAAGCTTCGTTTACACGAGGCCATAGTAGGCAAGAAGGTTATCTAAGGTAACTTGTAATACACTATAACTGAGGCAGGTAACCTGCTTACTGGCCTATAGTGTAAACACAGCTTAAGATCTGGGCTCTTCAGTGCTTGGTGTAACTGTAAATTTTCCTAGTGGGACACTGACAAAGGTTGTGAAAAATATGAGTTGCTTACCAATACATAGGTTCTTTGGAAAAAACACTGAATATGGTTACCGGTAATTATTTAGTTAACTTGTATGCCTCCACAGGTAAGATTGTTCGAAATTTACATCGGTAGTTCTATAATGATTAGTAATCACTGTTTCGTAAAAATTTCATAAAAACCTCACTCCTTTAATCGCATTGGAATTTTTGTTGGGCCCAAATTCATTTGTTGACATCTATCGTGAGATAAGTGATAGATAGATCCAGTGTTATTTTCATATGTATGGAGCACAAGACTTAATGATAGAAACAGAGGTGCGAGGGAAAGTTGTTCACACTACACTAGATACTGATTAACAACTTCTTGTTGTTACAGGTCTATCCAATGATGACTCACAATAGAATCAAACACAAGTATATCACAAAGGAAACAAGAATAAAGACTGTTCATGTACTGAATCAAGTTACCTGTTCCTTCAGAGTTTTCACCATCGTCAGGCTCCTGTTTGCTGTTGGTCTGAGGAGGTGACGGAGGCGAGCTGTAGGTGATGGCGGAGTGGTAGCGGATCGGAGACAGTCCCAGGGCTACAGACACAGGCGGCCTGCAACAGTGCACTGTGCAGTGTGTGTGTATACAGCAGAACTTTATATGTGTATAGGTGCAATCACAGATATGTAAGGTACAGATAGGAACAACTGGGACGACCGTGGGCTTTCAGTTCTGGTTTGTTGTTCTTAAAAGATACTTGTGACGAGCAAGGAAGACTCCAAACAGCACTGTACGGAAATTTCCATTGAACAGGGCACAGAGTCTTCCTCCACCGTGAGGATTTTGGAAGGCGAGGGGGGGGGGTTTTGGTTAGATTTAGCCTTAAACACCAGCACTAGTGCTAGACACCACTTAAATGAGCCATACCATTGAGTGTTTCCTATTTAATTTACTACTCTATGACTATACACTACACTTCAAGGGTTAGAAGTGTTGAAAACATTATCAATATAATTTTAACAGCTCTAGTCTCCTTAGCGTGCTGAAAAAGCCTATTTCTTTCTAGTCTCTCTCAAAAATCTAGGTTTAGTCTAGAGATACTGATTTACCATGAACTTTATGAAAGAGATTGAAGCATTAAACAATTAAACTTATTGAAATGTGAAAAGGTAAGGGATTGTACTGTTTGCTTGTTGAAATTTGTATGATTGTATAGAAAAATAGAGATAATGATCTTAATATTCTTCCAGTACATCAAAATGCAAAAGGGCATCACCTTCAGCGGCTTGGCATGTTTTCCAAACAATAAACATTAGAAAATACCAATGATGATATTGAAGACTACCCCTAAGCAGAACATCCAACATTCTTTTTACTTATGTAAGACCTTCAGATTCTAGGACTTTTTACGCTCCAGCCCCGAACCGTTTTACTACACATTACTTCTGGCTGAACATAGAAGGCTGCAGAATTATTAAATAGATAAAATTCATCGGTCATTTGCGCTGGGAATGGGATGTCTCACGCTCTATCACTAGACTCAGACTCGCACATTATTTCTTAGTAGAAGCATAGACAAATAGGATTAAACAATTCTTAAAGTTCTTCTAAAGTTTTAACTTAGTATCATTTTTTTTTTTTTTTTTTTTAGTTTGAAATCTTTAGAAAGATTGTTAAGACATGGTAAGTATTTTGTAAACAATTTTAAATGAGAAGTCCGATACGGTCTAAGACAGTTCAAAAATGTGTTACAAATTATGTTTCTTAAAATTGTTTGCAGGAGAAGTGTTTTATCCTCTAGTCTAGGAGCAAACCCGTTTGGCCCCTAAAAAAAGTCCTGCCCTCCCCGTTGGTTGAACATACCGTAGCTAAAAAGTAGGATGGATGAGTAATTTAATTACGTTGTTGGTAATTTTAAAAGTAGGTAATTATGATGCTTAAACGTTATTTGACGACGACAAATATTACATGTTAGAGACAGAAGAACTATTTAACATTCAAAAGCATCACTGTTTAAATTACTTTATTCCGCGCACAATATTCAATCGCGTCCCGTTTTAAAACGCTCAAACGCTGCCGCAATTATATAAATCCGGAGGCGAGCCAAAGAAAGCGGAGAAAATGCAAAGAACACAAAGATAACGAACCATAAATTCTTACAGAGAAAATAAGCTCGGAGAGGTAAACAGGTTGATACAGAGAGCCAAAACATGTTTGAGCGTCTATATAGAGAGAATAAAGTGAAGATGCCGTATCAGAATTGCAAATGTGAGTGGGGGGGGAGATGGAGTGCGCGAGTCAAATTGCGCACCTGCTCCCCCCTATTTATCAAAAGTTGCTCGGATCGCTACCAGGCGGCGCTGGTGTAGCGATTGAGGAATTAAGTGGAATCGTTCTCGCGCGGATTTTGCCTTCTGCCTTAGTTCGAATTGAGGTTAATCTGTTTATTTCTGACAGAATGTTACAGGTTAGGTTTTGTGATCTTGGATTTAGTACGGGTTTAATTGTTATCTTAATATGAATTATGAAAAAAGGTGGGAGCATTCGTGTAAAAAATAATATTATTCATTCAATACTCTCAATGAACAATTATTTCTCACTTTTTCAGATCATCAGATGACTATACGTATACATCAAGATAAACGTTTTTTTAGTGTGGCCTTGAGTAAGCCCATGCTGCTTAATCAATTAATTACATAACTGAAATGTGAATTATGTTTATTTACGTCGATTATTTTCTCTGGTGTACCAAAATCGAATAAAATACTATTGTTACTGCAAAATTGATTTATATCTTTGTAATAATTTTAAACCCAAACTAAATACGCTAATTTGGCTACCATATAATAAAAAATAGTATAGACACCTTTATATTCTTTGTGTTATTGTTTATTTATGAAACTACCGTATAACCATAGATTAAAAGAAGTAGACAAACACCATAATGATATGTATAAAGAACCTCTTTCCAAAATCGCATTAATTTACCCATGAATGAAAAGAAATTTTAAATTAATCTAGATAAAGCATAAATCTTCCTGTTTAATTTTAATTTACAATACAAGGAATTTTAATATATTCTTAATGAATGTTATTAATCTTTAATGCGTTTTCCAGCATTTGAACTGAACATAAAACCTATGTAAAATCATACAAACATTTATTTACATTCTACAGTAAACCCAACGCCATTCCGATATTTCCAAAGAAGATTCCGGGGCTCGCCGCATAAAGGGGGTTGGAGTCGTTTTGGAGAGGGAGGCTTTTGCAAAACATGAGAATCAAAACATACCGACGCCGCTTCTAAGGAGGCCGTGGGGGGGGGGAATCAAATTGTTTGGCTGGGTGGGGCTTAGCGAAGGCGTTTGACAGAGTCAATAGTGGTGTTACGGACGACGCTGTGACGTCGTGGTGGTGGTGGTGGGGGGGGGGGTGAGCATGCGCAGGGGGGTCGCGACGCTAGTGTACCGGGGGTGCCAAGAGTGTGGCGTCGGTCCCGGGCACGGCAACAACTACTACTGGTACACTATTTTAGCCTACCGAGTAATGTTAGTATATTCTTAATATTTTAATCAAGTATCAAGAAAACATTAAACCAAATCGACAAAAGGGTTTGGGGCGAAATATTTAATCGTTTCGCAAAAGGTCAAGATTGCTTTTGAAAAAAACGTCGCAATTTACTGTGAAAACAGCATTTTTGGTTTCGTATAATGATGATTAACATTGGTTTCTAATTTCTTAAAATCCTGAGACATCGTAGAAAATAATTTAAATTCTTATAAATTTGCGCTGAACCTATTTTGTGATATTTTGAATTCAACCAATTACATAAAATGATTCCCATCCGCTATTTACCAAGGCTCGAAATCTCCGCAAACTATGAAGGGTTAAAATATTTTCTCAAAAACAGAAACAGAGATATTATATTTTTAACTACACACAGACTGGCACCGGACCATAGCCCTCTATGAGGCTAAGGTTCAACTCCCACCAATGAGACCTCTTGATATCAAACAGCAATTTTATATACATCGGTACATCGTTTGTATGCCGACCAACCAAACGTGTCACGGAACAAATTCTATCATGTGAAAGTTATTTATAAGACAAAACAAAATATCTAAAAAAATTAACTCTTCATCTCCAGCTATTCAGTGTATTTCTTACTCTAACATAACTAACATAAGGCGGAAAGATGTTTTGCTAGCCTGATAGTTCGTGTCTCGAACTTAGATGCGAGAGACTTCTTTTCGATCCAAAATATGTACACAAGTAAGCGGGATTTTGAGCCCAGTTGTGAGTCTTTCATTGACTCCACTGGCGTGGACAGTAAAGAATAAAACACCTACGCTACATCTCACCTGAGGAAGATAGAGGCAGCGACGATAGAGTTAGCAGCGGTTCTACATGGAGGGTCGGACACACCTACAAAACAACAGTTACTGTTGGGGATGACTTGTTGACCCTCCCTCCACTTTCCTCGTCGGTGACCTGTAGTCTCGGGCGTCCCTTGGAGCGAACCTACAGGAACCTGGGATGTCCATCTGGTGGAGAAACTGGTATGAGAGTGGTTTCGACCAACGGATAGTCTAGCTTTGAAATTATTTTGGTGGATTGGGGGAGTTTTGGTATTTAACCATACTGTTGAAAAGGAAAAATGCAGATTTTAGACAGTGGAGGTTGCCATACATGACGATGTTACAGATTTGGAATACTGAGGTTAGGTTAGTGGGAAGTGAAATATCTACTAAATATTTTTGGTGGTTTGTCAAGAAACCCATCAGTTTGTTCAAATGCGAACGCGATGCCATCATTCCGTGGGGAATTACGTTCTTTGATGTGAGAACCAGAACTATGGAATTTTTCTTAGTCCCCCCCTTATCTGTAGTTCCCCTCTACTTGCCTTAGTTCCTTCTCTACTCGCCTTAATCCTCCCACCATTCTCCGTAGTTCCCACACTACTTCACCTTATTGTCCCCACCTTTCTCTGTAGTCCCCTCTACTCGACTTGGTAACCCACATTTCTCCGTAGTTCCCCTCTACTTGCCTTAGTTCCTTCTCTACTCGCCTTAGTCCCCCAACATTATCCGTAGTTCCCACACTACTTCACCTTATTGTCCCCACCTTTCTCTGTAGTTCCCTTTACTCGACTTAGTACCCCACATTTCTCCGTAGTTCCCCTCTACTTGCCTTAGTTCCTTCTCTACTCGCTTTAATCCTCCCACCATTCTCCGTAGTTCCCACACTACTTCACCTTATTGTCCCCACCATTCTCTGTAGTTCCCTTTACTCGACTTAGTACCCCACATTTCTCCGTAGTTCCCCTCTACTTGCCTTAGTTCCTTCTCTACTCGCCTTAATCCTCCCACCATTCTCCGTAGTTCCCACACTACTTCACCTTATTGTCCCCACCTTTCTCTTAGTTCCCTCTACTCGACTTAGTCCCCCACCATTCTCTGTAGTTCCCCTCTACTCGCCTTAGTACCCCACCTTTCTCCGTAGTTCCCCCACTACTCGTCTTACTACCCCACCTTTCTCCGTATTTCCTCCACTGCTTCACCTAGTACTCCTACCACTCGCCTTAGTTGCCCCACCACTCGCCTAAGTTTCCCCACCACTCTCCACTGCTCCCCACCACCAGGACATCCCAGTACTAGCGCCAACACGTCATCCCCTACAGAGGCCTACGGTAGAGACTCACCCGAACACTCCGACAGCCACCGCCGCCTCCCGCAGCGCTCTCTCGTGGTCCATGTCTACCAGCGTCTCTGGTCGGATGGTCGCCGTGTTGCGAGGCTGTCTCTCGTTCTGCACAGCTGTAACACGAACACGTGCAGCAGAAACTGTCTGGAATGGCTGACGTCCACTGCATCCATGACTCGTTCTCTAGGCTAGAAGCTTTGATTAATAATTTACTGTATGTAATATTGTCAATTTATGTTTTGTAAAAGTTTAGTACGAAGGAAATAGTATTTATTATGTACTATTATACATAATATTTAAGGCCTTACTTTATGAACAAGCGCAGTGCTTCATACGGTGAGAGGGGAGTACTAGCATTCAATTGTGCTTAATACCAGTTGGTGCAACCCCTAACGTTGTGGTACTGTACGAACTTTATTTTGTCAACATTAACCATATATATGTAGGTTAAAATATTAAATATTAAACTGATTTCAACCTGCGTGGCCTGCAGCTATGCATGTGTCTAGTTATGATGCCACCCCTCCAGAAATTTTGTTTATGATAGTCTCTTCAGATGACTATCTAGACGACTGTTGGTCAATTGTTTGTGCAAGCTGGGAATTAACACATCGTACAGCAATCACATTTTTGTAAGCCTACTCCAAGTCAAGACCAACATAAACACCTTTTGTATAATAGCTGCTCTGCCTGAGACTTCGACATGGTTTCACATAAAACTTCCTATACTGCAGACCTGGCCCTGAAGATGTCCAATAGGCTGCCAGCTGGATGACAGTTGTAAGACCAAGTCCTAACTCATTGGTTGAGCCTATTACTCGTTGAAAGATTACTTCGAAGACAGCTTTAGCGACCTTATTAAACAAACAAACAAAAACTGGCGAAAAAATCTAGCCTTGCTGGTAAAATTTGTAGACAGCAACAAGTAACATTTTATAACTAAGTATCAATGGGGCTGCTATCCAAATAATTTCACAAATGTTTAGCTTTTAACATTTACAAATACATAGGGAAAATTACAAGTATTGTAACAAAAATATTACAAACAAGACAATGCTGTGCTATGAAGTTATTACCACGATATACTACTTTGATCATATTAAGCGTATACGAAATAGATTAAACTATTTATTCTCAGACCTTGTAAAATATTATCTACAAAATTCAAACCACTGTAAACATTCTAATTAATTCAAAACGTTGTATACATTTTTCTATCAAGTCGCTTTCAAACTGCTTGTATAACGAAAACACAACACAAATGTTAGTTATGAACGTTATTTAATTTCTATAGCTTAAACAAAGCTAATTCGTACTTAATTTTATCAGAGTACACATTTACCACAAACGTGATTATAGGCCTAATTTGTGCAATCCTCAATATTACCATCCTCCAAATGTTATCAGAACGAATTACAAGCAGTTATTAGTAAAACTCATCTTCAGTTAATGGTTACATAAAACATTATGCAGGTTTGGGTAGAGATTTCTTTAAAAATTATTTTTAACTTTAGGATTTTTCCTTCTTATAAACCCTAATCAATATCACAGACAGTAGAGTAACCAATAGAGCATTATCTGTTTCAATATATTTTTAGTTTCTACTGTAGTCGTCAATGACGAAATGTGACGGCGCACTGATGCAATCTTGCTACTTCTATGTCGGGCGGGTATTGCATACACACAGATGTCACGGCGCGCGGCTTTTGCCAAGACTCCGCGAAAACCGTTGAAAACAGAAACTCTAACTAATACTACTCATTCAATCATTCATTGCCAGATATTATTAAGGGTAAATTAGATGGTCAGAATAAAGTAGACCTAACACATGAGTTACTTATCACCACCCATAACTTAAAAATAATATGTTGTTTGTACATTTTCAGGGGAAACCCGCCAAGCAATATACTTTTAAATTAATAATAAACAAGATGGCGGATGGAAATTTTTAACCAACCTTTCTTATGTTGATTGATTTAAGAAACTTCAAATTTTTCTAGAAAAGCCCACATCACAAACACATTTTAAGTTATAAATGAAAATATAGCTAACAATGTTAGTTTTCTATTCGTCCAACAGTCCAGCCTTATTCGGGTCGGTTTACTAATTTTGATGATTTTTATAACGTTGAGAATCAATGAAACTTTTAGGACAAAATTTGCTATCTAAATTTGGTGATATTTACTGGTATTGTTTTAGCTGTTTATTTCCTAAATACGGGGACATATTTCACATCCGCAAACGTGAAACTTGCATTTGTTTTACTAAATGATATATTTCGATAAAATTCGGCAAATTCGTTTATTTCATACACAGCTATAAGTAACATTTCATTACAAAAATCACACACACTTTATTATTACCTTCCTTACAGCACCAGTGCTCAATCTAACTAATCTTATTCAAACATAAAATATATCTAACAATTTTAATGGAATATTTTTGTGAAAATCCAACATAAATGGAAATTTGCTAAGCCTGCATGTTTACTGCGGTGGGGACATTTTGTAATTTTTTATCAAATCAGGCATAGCTTTTGAGACCCTATTGCTATTATCCTCTCTTTAGTTGTTGCATAAGTATATAGCTTTACAGTGTATAATTGTTTTTTATAAGTTTGTATTGTCTACGTTGTGGAATTTGAGAGGAAATAAATCATTTATCACCCCCCCCCTCCCCAGGTGAGTATATTGTAGAGTGGTATAGAGCCCCCCCCCCCCCCCCCCCGTGTTGTGACAAGGGTGATGTGTATGGTCATCTGGTAGTGACGTTCCCCTCCCCTAACACAATCACTGTCAGTCTGTGTTTTCTAATTATCCCCTCACCGCTCGCCAGGTAATCACCAGCGTCCAACATGGCGTAACAGATGTGCGGTGAAGGCTGCATGGCGTCTGACAGTCTGACACATGCGCAAACACACAACACCTGACTGCTGCAGCGCACATAATAATCGACTGCAGGACCACAAGTGTAGGTGGACATTATCCTTTAGGTAACTTTTAGTGGAAGGATTTCTCCGGTAGAGAAACTTCTCGCTTGAGCGACCTGTTTTAGCGAATTTCCCTATAGGGAAGTAGCCATTACCGTAGGTGGCACGGTAAGACCTAGGCCCTGGACCTATTTACTTTTTCATATTGATGTCCCCAGAGGCCAAAAACACCATTGGTTCAAATTTGTATATGTATATATTGTGTGAACGCGATAACTTGAGTTATTTTTGTCCGACTTTGATTAAATTTAGTTTAATGGTATTTAGTTTAATTTAGTGTAAGGCGAGATAAACTTGAATGAGTTCGCAAACCAGTATGATCGGACCATAGTGACGGGTTTTACGGGGCGGGGGGTTATATGGGGTTAAAATGGGTTTTCTCATTTTTGACCCACAAAACACAAAATTACACAATTTCTCTCTGGACATTTTTAATGAGCTTAAAAACAAATAATTTAGTACACCAAAGTATTTTTGTACGTTTACAGTATTGGTAACGGAGAAAATTAAAAAAAAACTGTTATTTTGAAATTTCCATGTTGTTTTTATGAAGAATATTTTAAAATGTTGTAGTCTGCAGGTTAGCTGCGGCGGGGGTATTTTTTATTTATTTTTTATAGTAGAATAATTTTGCCATTAAACCCCATAACAAATGGAAAAATCAAATTTTCTAAAAAATGGCCTGAACGGTTTTGTTTAATAATTAGTTTGGTATAGCCTTTAAATTCTGAACAAAATTGTATAACTCCCATTGCTGCAAAAATTACGGTTTAAAAGTTAATGTAACTTATGCTATTTTCCCATAAAAATCACCTTAAAATAACGGAAAATAATATTATTGAAAGAAAGCTGGTTCAATCACAATTCGTATGCTATCTTTCTTTTTTATTCTAAAAAAAATAGTGCAAATTGCTGTAAAAATTACGATTTAAATAATTATTTGTGTAACTAGTGGTGAAAGTGGCACTTTGCTGCACACGAGAGCAATGTTTACGCACGAGCCGCAGGCGAGTGCGGAATGATCTCGAGTGCAGCAAAGGCCTTTTTCACTCGTGTTACACATTATATTTTTCCTACAGTCACTATAAAGCATATAAATAATTAGTCTTTCAATCAAACACTATACAACACGTTTTTAGGTTCAGCTGGCAACACAAATGGTGCCCTAGAGAAAGTAGTACCCGCGGCGTATCACTCCGCTATTTTTCCTCGGCAAGAAATGTGCTCGGCGTTTTGACAATATAGTTCCGTATGTTTTTGTAATTTGAAGTGGTTTCCACGCCTAAAAAAAAATGCTTTAAAAGTATTTTCTTGTTTATTAAGATCGTAGGAATGTTTTAAAAACGTTTAAAAGAAAAGTCCAGAAAGTTCAGAAATACCGAAACTATAAACACGAAATGACAGGTTAAATCGTAGTTATAATAGTCAATCAGCTGCTCATAGTATTATTATCTTTAAGTGTTACCAACCTATTTCCAAGCGTACACGGATTACGTGCATAATAGAACCACGCTGTTTTGTGTTGTTTAGTTGGAATCCTGATGTGCGGCAAAGTATAAACCGTACGACAAAGTATAAACCGTACGGAAAAGTATAAATATGCAGCAATTAGCAGCTTTCTGTACTATAAACAGTACAAGGAAGCCAACTTTGTTGGGTGACTGTAGGAAAAGTAACTTTTCGTGATTTTTCCTATATCAAAGGTCACACCGCATACCCATGATAAAGGTTGTTGACAAGCTTATTGGAGAAAGTATGTGCCAGAATGCTGATACCGTTTATTTCATTTGATAGGTAAATCTTTGTCGGTTCGTGGCGTTTTCGAATACCATCGCCGCAGCATACATGCAGACTGCGAATTCGTCATTGTGTTATCTATCAGTATTGCTATCTAACAGGACGGAAAGGAACAAAGTTATAGGGTAGTTCCGTTAGAAAATTCTACCAGCGTTGAAAACACAAATACATCTAAATACTCGTGATTCCGGCATTTCCTAATCAAGTAATCACCCCACTGACAATAACCGTAATACCGTATCACTTTAGTCTTACACATCCACTGCCTCGATTAGAAAACTAAATCAAATCAAGCCCTATTTGAATTTCACGAGTTCGTGAGCTTGC